GTTCAATTTAACGGTCAAGTGTCGAACAACAAATAACTACAAAGTCAATGGACTTTCAAATAGAGAAACAACAAAGCAAAAACATGAAAATGTAATACGTGATTAAGCATAGGTATAGGTTCTTCTACAAGAGGAAATAGAGTAAGTTAATAATACGTTCAGGCTTCAGGAGCGGTAATGAAATTAAAAAATACATAAAACATGGCGGTAAACATGGTAGAATTAATTGCAGAAACATGAATTGAAAAGATAAATGAATCATCATATTCCATAGATCCAACTACCGTGGAAAAATCACAGTTGGTTTCTCGTGGTCCTCTGAGTGACTGAAAAACATCATTTATAATATTGTGAAGTACAATAAATCTTGTAATAAAATTAGTATTAAGTATCATTAATATAAAGAAAGTTGATTTGTAACTGAAATGTTTCTTTAATTGTTCATTTGTGTAATAATCGTGACATTTCGGATTGTTGTAGCCTGGACCAAACGTTTACAGTGGTGTCTTTTGGGCTTTTACAAATATCACATAAATAAATCAAAATAAAGGAGAAAATAGCAAAAATTTGGGGAAAAAGATAACTGTGAATTCTGTTATTAGAGCATGCCACATCACCTCCCCAATGCCCCTCAATTATATAAATATATTTATAGATTTTAAGTAAAGTGGAAATAACAGTGGTTATAATAGACTTAAAAGTATTTTCATCAAACTCTACTAGTGTATATTTTTTTACACAGTTAAATACAACTATAATATCATACAACTTGAATACAAATTTTATACAAAATTTTATACAATATGTCTTTTGTATATTTTGTAACTGATTTATACATAGTAAAAATAAATTTCATGCAACTAATTATATATTATACAACTTATCTACAACTTGCACACATTATTTCTACCCGGTTATATACAACTACAATATCATACCACTTAAATACAGTTTTTATACAAATTTTATACAATATGTCTTTTGTATATTTTGTATTTGATTTATACATAGTAAAAATAAATTTCATATAACTAATTATATATTATACAACTTATCTACTACTTTCATACATTATTTCTACCCAGTTATATAAAACTATAATATCATACAACTTAAATATAATTTTTATACAATATTGTTCAACTTTCATACAATATTTAAATAAAAAATATATATATAAACAACATAATACAATTTTTCTACAATTTTACTATAACTTTACTACAATTTCGTAAGTATAATGTATGTCATGTCTTCTTCTTCTTCTTCGAGTTTCAATCTGAAATTCAGCCAAAATCAAGTCTAATCTTCACCAAAACACACTCAAAATTGAGATATAAACTCCAAATAATATTCCCAATTGTTTGCAAGAAGACCCAATCCAAACAAATAATGGTTTTTAAAAACCCAAATTTGAATTCAAGGATTCAAAACTTTTTAATGGCTGTCAATGGTGGAATTGTTATTCTCTTTTCCTTTGCTTTACATTACTGGAATTAGGAATTGAGAGATAGAGAGAGACATAGAGAGAATTCCCAATTGTTTACAACAACACCTAATTCAAACAAATAATATCTTTTGAAAATCCAAATTCAAATTCAAAACTTCAAAGCTTTTTAATGGTTGTCAATGGTGGAATTGCTGCTCTCTTTTCCTTTGCTCTACATTACTGAAATTAGGAATTGAGAGATAGAGAGACGTAGAGAGAGAGAGAGAGAGAGAGAGAGAGAGAGAGAGAGAGAGAGAGAGAGAGAGAGCAAGCATGAGTGAGAGAGAATAAGGATGGAAAATAATTGATTCATAATATAAAGGGATACTCATTTAATTCTAAAGTGTATATAATTGATAAATTTGTATATAGGATGTAATTAAATTGAAACTTGAGTAGGGAGGGTAATAAAGTTTCAAATAGTGTATAGGAATGTAAAAATTCCTATAATTTAATCAATGACAATAGACCTAGTTTAAAATCCAAATCCTATAATAAGAGTAACACCAATTGTAGACATATAAATTTTGTTGAAATTAAATTCATCAAATAATTTAGACTATATTTTAAATTCAAGATATATTAGTTCAGATAAATTTGTTGGGCTAATATAATTGGATTAGTTATATAAGTCCAATATATATGGATTAACAAATAAGTTTAAATCCATTAGGCTTGCCCATTTAATTGGATTACAAGTGATGAGAGCCCACTTCATTGAGCCCAAGATGTCATCTTACTAGAGGCTCAGTTTGATGATGCGTGTCAAATGACGTGGCACACCAAGTCAAATGGAAGAGTTTATAGGATCGTGCCATGTGTCAAAATGACAAGGCATGCTAAGTCAAATTAAAATTTCAATGAACGCATGTGCAAGTGATATGTTCTGAAAGAGTTTGTTCTCGTCACAACTCGTCCCTCCCGCAACTATAAATAGGGATCTTCATAACTCAAAACAAATACCAAAAATTTATACAAGAAGCAAGAGAGAGCTCGTGGATCAAACGCCGCAAATTTCTCTACAAGTTTCAAGCTCTAAGCAATCAAGTTCAAATTCAAGAACGAAGAACAAATCAAGGTTCAAGTAGTAAGAGTTCAAATCAAAGTTCGTGCTAGTTGAATTCAATATTATCGTTCGTTACAACAAATATAGATTCAACATCAACCTCAAAGGCCCTTGAATTTATTTAGTATTGAAAAGAAGAATCAGAGGAATCATAGAGGTTGTAAAACTCATATTGTTTGAAATAAAATACTACGATTGTTGCAATATTTTTCGGTCTCGATTATTTTTCTTGACACAATTTATTGTGTACGCCAACATAAAGAAACAAAAATCTGAAAATGAAAACGTAGCCCAAATTTCTTTTACTTGTTCTTTCTTGTTATTTTTTTTTCCTCTTAAACAGTATTCTTGATTGCATTTTTCTTTTTCAAATCCAATAGCTTTTTGTTTATAAGAGTAAACCCAGTTAAAAATCTTATAACCTAAAATTACAGTAACGCCAAAATTTTGTAATCTATAGCAGTAAATCTAATTGCAAATTATGATAGAGTTTTTAATTAATAAAAAACAATTCTAATTGCAAATTACGACAAAATCGAATCAATAATAAGAAACCCAGTTGTAAATGTGATCTATTCTCTAAGATTATAGGTAAACAAAAAGTTGCGAAAAATATATACTAATTATGTATAAAATATGTGTATTTTGTATATTATATATTAATATACAAAAAATATATATTTTGATGGCTATTAATTTTTAGAGGGACTATACTGTGTAGTTTTTTCCAAAATATTGACGTAAAAGAAACAAATAAACTATTAAAACATATAACTACAATAATTTCAAATGGCGCAATTTTTTTTTAATAAGAGTTAAATTTTTAATAAGCCCTAATTTATTAAAAAAATATATTTTTAAAACTTCATTTTTTAATAATTCACCCTGTAGACATCAAAATTTTATCGGATCAAATCCATATGAAATTTGGGCAAAATTCTAAATTTAAGATACTATAAGTAGAGTATGTGTTCTTGGATGCCACTCTATCTGAAACCCTAACCTGGAGGCTACTCAACCTGAAACCCTAGCTTGGAGGGTATTTTACCCAAAACCCTAGTTACACCTATAAAAAGGGACCACATATTCCCTATGAAAGCATCTCGAAATTCCATAAAAATTCATGAAATATTCGCAAAGAGATCAAAAACATCAAATATTGTCTTTCTCAAAGCCGCCGAAGTGATCAACGGATGTTCTTCCTTTTCATGAAGATCAAATACATCCTAAGGAAGTTCGCATCATCCCACGTTTGAGAAATACGCTTGTTAAGTCCTCGAATCACGGAGAACGATTTAAGAGAAGAATCAATTGAGCAAACAGAATTGTACCCACATCATTTTATCAATAAAATTATATTTCTTCATATTTATATTGTGGTTGCAATTTATTTTGTATCACGAATAATTTGTTGCAAACACACCCCTTCAACCAATCTAACCTTATAAATTTATTTAGAATCAAAAGTTGGAAGATGAAATTAAAGAAAAGCGATAATTTTCTTTTGTTTAGTTTAAATTTTAGGGTTTTTGTTCAGGAATTGCTAAATTGAAGATCATGGAAGTAATAGAATCATCCAATGGCATAAAATTTTAGATATTTTTATTCTGAAAAAAAGACAACGTGTCTTGCCACTTGGCTTAAACTGACACGTGTATGGCGCGAACTTCACGCAACAACTCTTCTCGCTCGGAGGAATACTAAAAAGAGGGGTAATAAAGATACTCCACTTCATAATTTAGGGGTAAAAGTTGCAAACTTTGGGGATTTTGTATTTAACCCCCCCCCAACAAGAAAAACGTAACATTATCTATTTTTTTCTAAAAGGAGCCGATTCTTCAAATATTGGAACCAAACCAAACTAATTAAGTCAATTTTTTATCGATTAGATTTTTATTGGTTTTTTAATTTTTTTTGATTATTTATCGAATTTTTTCTTAAATATGAGACATATACTACCAAATACATATTCTGGCGACTACATTTTCAATGTAATACTATCAAACCAATTGGTCTTTGAAAAATCTATCATTTACTGATGATAATTGAATTAAATAGTGATGAATAATTTAATTACTCAATTAAAAATTAATTATATTTAACGTGAAATAAATTCTTATACCTGGCAAAAGAAAAATACCAATAAAATCAGAATGTAAAAGTAAAAAATTAGATTGTTATAATAGCAAAGAACTAGACTAAAAATACAAATAACTAATATGTACCATAAAATTTTAGAAACTTTATATATATATATATATATAAATTTAAATAGATATTTTTATAATTATTTTTATTTGATTTTTTTTGATTATTTTTTGATTAAAACCAAAATCAAACCAAAAGTTTATCGATTTTTAAAATTCAAAACCAAATTTTTTTTTTGTCAGTTTGGTCGGTTTTCGGTTTTGTTGTGATTTTTTTTTATGAACACCCTAGAAGTGGCAAGGGAGACTTGTATGGTCCAGAAGTTCAAAAAGAATTGTTCCGTAGAGTTGGGAGGGGAAAGGGAGAAATGAGGTTTGGACTTAATAATCAGCCATGGCCACTCTCTTGGCTTCGATTGCGACCTGCTTCTTCTACGCGCTGCTTCTCTCTGGTTCATTCGCTTCCACTACAGTTCTGTATCATTATATTCAAACAAACACATGCTTTTACAGTTCTGTATATGATATTCAAACAAACATATGCTTTTTTCTGTGTGTATTTTACCTGAATTTGAGTGGTTTCAGGTCTTCATGTGGGATAGCATTTGATATAGATGGGGTTATACTCCGTGGCCGAACTCCAATTGGGAATTCTCCCAGTGCTCTCCGGAGACTGTATGATGACTCGGGTATAGTTTTCTAGCTGCGTACAGTTTGCACCTTATGTTGCCAGTCTCTAGAGGCTCTAATTGCATGAAAATTTTGTTTTCTTGGTTTTTGCAAGTTCTATTTGTTGCATTTTACTAAGAGTGGTTTAATCATAAAGCTTAGATATTTCTACCTTGTTCTTTTGGTTGGGAATATGTTTTAGATATTTTAGCACTTTTTCTGTAGGTTCTATGCTTTCTTGGAGTAGTTTAGCCTTTCAGAGATTTATACTTTTAGAAAATAGAGAGAACTTCTAATATTTTCTAGTTGTATTTACATAATATTGCCATCAGATGAGTTTAAATGGAGTAACATGGTCAGTGAAGATTCATATTGTCAACCCCAACATGTTTGGGACCGAGACACAGTAGTTGTTGTGCTTTTGGTCTCTTTGTTAGTGGGATGAACATGTTGGAACCATTTGTACTTTATGAAATCTTATTGAATTTTTAATTGTCTCTATGATGTGATATCATGTTCACTTGTTAATTGACTAGATTGACGAGAAAGAGACATGTCTTGTGTAATGTTGATAAACAATTTTTTTTTTTCAATATATACTGAATGATACAAGATTTAGACTTTTGTACTTGCCACATAGTAATGCTTTACCCTTGATGCAGGCAATCTGAAGCTTCCCTTTTTGTTCTTGACAAATGGTTAGTACTATCCATGAACCTACTTGCTTTTAGTTTATCTATTTGAGACGTAAACCTTTTCTCTGTTGGTCAAATAAATCTGGTTAGTCATTCACAAAATTGATCCATGGATAACTTTTAGATTCTTAACAATCACTTTTGATAAAGCTTTCTAGGACTTCAGGTTTTACATCTAATTAGCATCTCCAGTGGCTGAAATATTTGCTCGAACAGTAGTTTGGTTATCTGCTCGATGAAATTTATTGGTCAGTCTCACACAACTATATTAAAAAGAAGTAACTGGAAATTAGGAGGATTTAACTATCACATTTGTGTATCGTGTCACATGTCCTCTTTCCAGCTGTATGGTGATTAGTGAAGTCCAAAATAGTTTGAGTTATACCCTTCTTTTTGCTGCACATTAAATCCATACGAGACATAGACAGGTATATCCTTGTTCTCCTAAATTGGATTTTTGAGCATCTTGAGTAGATGATTTCATGGCAACCCGTATTGGACCAACTGTGGCTTCTGCTTGACCTTTGACATGATAAAATGTTACATACAAATGAGTTAATATCAATCTATATACAGAATTTTCTCTCCTCTCTATTTCACAATACTGACATTTGTAGACGAATCATAATCATTTTTACGTACAATTCCCAGCAGTTACATTCTTCTCTAAGACGTGTTAATTGGACAGCACAGTTTTAAAGTCAATTTGTGATCTTTCTGCAGGAGGTGGTATCCCAGAGTGTAAAAGAGCCTCTGAGTTAAGTGAACTCCTTGGAGTTGAGATATTACCTTCTCAGGTAATCTTTCCAGAGTGAAGAAATAATAGTAGTCTTGTTGTTATGTTGGTTCACTTTTCAGCTGGAAGCACCATCCTTGTTCCCCTGTTGCTTACACGGTACTAACTCTTACAGGAGAGGGACTGTCGTAAGTGAAAAAACAACTGTTAGTAGAGGGATATAAATCTAAATTGTATGTTCATGGATGCAGGTCGTGCTGGGGCATTCACCTTTTAGGAATTTGATAAAGAGGTATATATGCTGCATAACATTATCGGAAATAGGTCCTCTTAGATCTAATTATTTGTCTTCGTCTGCATGCTTAATTTTTCACTTGTCGTTTACTCATTTCTGAAAGGAAAGCTGCCACAAGAGAGCACTTATGCTCATGTATCAACCCATCATGAGTCTATTTTGTTAATAAAAATATTATTGTTCAAGACTTTAAAAGTGTCTACAAATCTCAGATTTGGTTATAACCACAGTAAAAATTTCCTTGAATCATGCAGATCACTAGCAGTGGAATTTTGTTTCTTTTGCCTTAGTCTCCTGTGTTGTTTCGCAGTTTAAGAGCCTTCATGAAACTGCTTCAGTCTTCCATACACCACGTAGATCCTGGAAGTCCTAAATTCTCAATTGGTTTTGTATTTTACTAGATTTGAGAATGAACTCATTGTTGTCACTGGAAAAGGTGAACCTGCTGAAGTGATGTCTGCATATGGTTTCAAGTAAGTTTCTAGCTTTTGTGTGGACCTTCATATTTTTGAAGTTCTACTGGAAGCAGTGAAATTTACTTCTTTTGCTATCAAAACCATGGCCAGAAAAGTTCTCTCCCTGGAAGAGTATGCATCATACTTTGATGACATTGATCCTGTAGCTCAGTTCAAAAGGTGGACAAAAACAACAAAGCACTTAAATTTGTCAAGAAATTCTTCAGAGTTGGCACCACAAATAGATGTTCTTTCTGATAGAGTTAAAGCAGTATTTATTGCCAGTGATCCTGTTGATTGGGGGAGGGATATACAGGTAAATTTTCTTCCTTTTCTTGGTAAATGGACAAAGAAGTTGCTTTTGCTTTCTTCTTTGATATTGAAGTAATAGTTCCTGTGCTATCTATCACAGCAATCTAAGATAGTATGAAAAGATAGGTGTATATTTTGGTAACTCAGCCCAACATTGAAATTTCACAAATTATTAAATAAATTCTTGACCTTGTGGAAGGGAAATGGAGGAAAGGGGAAGAAATGAACTAATTTACAGCTAACATTTTTTCTCTGTTTCTTAGGCTAAAGATGCTTCTTCTCTGCAGCTTCTTGATGCTTTGTATAGAAATTATTCATAGTTACAGATTACGGTAAAAAGGGTCGTACGACGTGTTCTCTTAGCCAAATAAGGAGGTGTTTCATGTTCTACTTGTAGCTAATTTTTCAAACAATAAGCTACTTTCTGTTTATAAATCCAGCCAGAATACCTGGACTATACCGTCATGTGCTTTTCTCAGTTAGCCGGTTAGTCTGGCACCATCAATTTTATCCATCAACAGCAGCAAACTACCACATCATCAGAATTTATTCCTGCTTACCTAAATTACTGAGCTTTGGAGCTACATCATGCAGGCACAAGAATGAAGAGAAAGGGTTAACAGATTGGTTGAGAACAAATTGTTTGTGGCTTGAATTGCTTGATATTGATGTCGTTCCTTTCTTGGGATATTAGTCTGGGAAAGGAGCTATATAATTGGAATGCATCTTTGATCCCCTATTTGTTTCATCATATAAAACCTTTGAATAATATCTACTAGAGAGCTAAAGTGTGCAGAGAGAACAGGGATTGACAGATGATTAATCCTTTCCCTTTCTCTTCCTTAGGGGAACTAGGGTTTAACTGAAAAATCAAAACTATTTTGATTTCATTCTCCCCCCCCCCCCCACAACCCCCGGCGTAATGATGTATCCCTTGCACATACGTCCTTTGGTCTTTTTCTAATTTACTTTCATGTATTCTTCTTCAAACCGTTGTTTTCTTTCATTGTTGATCACATTACTGTCTTGTTGTTTTTATTCTATTTTTATATTTCTTTTTGGTACTGTCCCTTCTTGTCTATATTTTCATTAATGTGGTGCTTATGCTTTCCTGAGCCGAGGGTCTATTGGAAACAACCTCTCTATCCTCACAAGGTAGGGGTAAGGTCTGCGTACACATTACCCTCCCTAGACCCCACGGTGTGGGATAATACTGGGTATGTTGTTGTTGTTGTTGTTGTTGTATTCTTCTTCTGCTCACTAGCTGAATGATACAGGTCCTCTGTGATATTTTGACATCTGGAGGTCTTCCTGGGAAGGAGAGTGAGCATCAGCCACATTTATATTTTGCCGCCGATGATCTTGAATACCAGGTTGCTAATAAACCTAATCCTGAGTATACCTCACTCACTTTTGGTAGAGTATCCAGTACATATGCAGAACTGAACATCTTTTTCAGGCAAAAGTTATTCCTCAAAATGATTCTTTTCCTTTCAGAATGATTTGAATCATGGAACCAAAGGAAAAACTTTAAAAAGAGCATGCTATTAATCATCTAGTACGAGATAGGAGATATTAGATGCTTTGTTCGAACAGTTGCAAATTGCAACTGCTGGTTCTCTGCATGCATCTCCAACACTATGACATTATGGGTCTAAGTGTGACATTTCTTTTTATTTTGCAAGTATATTTACTGGCATAGCTTCCGCTATAACCTCTTATATGATGTTGCTTGTTGAGAGTACTGATCAGGTGTCAACTTAGGGCAGGCAGCATTTTCTTGTGAGCGTCTTGGTATGGGTGCATTCAGAATTGCTCTAGAAAGTGTCTTTAACAGGTAGTTTCTGTGTTCTTCCAACTTCTCACTTCTGCCTTTTGTTGGAGATATGTAGCCTAATTATGTGCAAGAGATTTTAAATTTCACATTTCATACTAAGAAATATAAAATTCTGAACAATTCCCAGAATTCACTTGAAGCCTTTGGAGTATACATCTTTTGGGAAGCCAAATCCATTTGTTTTCCAAAATGCTGGTGCCATATTGAGAAATCTTCAACTCTCTCGTCAAAGTAATGACCTTTCTGGTGATAAAGATGCTATACATGCTTTCAGAACTCTGTACATGATTGGTGACAATCCATTTGTCGACGTAAAAGGTGCACGGCAGGTTTGTTGCTCGTTAACATGATTCCTTCGCGCCCTCTACAGACAGATTGCTTCAGATCATCACTATCTTGAAGTTATTGTCCATAAGATTGTAACGAGCATACTGTTCAATTTTAGGCAGGGCATCCTTGGTTTTCAATTTTGACGAGGACTGGTGTTTTCAAAGAAAGAGGAAATCATGCAGAATTTCCTGCTGATCTAGTAAGTTTGTCTATTCTGTACTGATGCATAAGTTCCCTTGCTCATTATCAATTCTTGTGCTTCAATTTTGAAAGTTCCATTGCTCATTATCAATTCTTGTGGTTCAATTTTCAAAACCCCCACGCCCCTAAGTAATCAATCTTTCTGATGTAATTATTACTTTTGGTTTTACTTTTTGTATTTTGTTAAGGATGGAACAATTAAAAGAGATAATTTCCCTGAACAACCAACTTCAGAGGGACTGAAAATGATTCCGAATGTTTCTTTTTTTACTTGCTTCTTTTTACTAGATCTCACCTCCTCACCTTCAATTCTTCTTCACCCAACATTCCTCTTTTAGCTCCAATCAAACGTCGCATTAGTTTTCCACTCTAGTGAGTGATTTACATGACCTTTGAAGCCCCCCAACATCATTTTACCGGTAGGAGGCAAGTCTATTTCATAGAATTAACTCTCTTTTTTCCTTTGGCCCTCCCTTAGAGAAATTTCCATTTTATCTATGAACCGAGTTTTCGTTTGAATCTCTTGAGAGGTTTGAACGTGAATCGTCCTAACCTTCCAAAGTCTGAATTTTAGTTCATGCATAAGCACCGACTCATTTTTCTTTGCTGCTTCTGCAGGTGGTCGACACTGTTGAAGAGGCAGTGGATTTCATTTTGAAGAGAGAGTCTAGTTAGCAGCATTGTCAATTTTGTTTTCTGACTTGCTGCCATGTTGCCTTTGCTCATAGATGGTTGTGATTTTCAAGTTGAAGTTTGTTAAAACTAACTCAAACAGCAATTTGTCATCAGGTCTAACATTATTTTTAGCACGTTAGCTAACTTGAACTGCTGTATTGCTAGCTCCCGCTCTTCTGATCTCAGTACTGTTGTAGTAGTCATTTTACATAATACTCATTTATTATTGACAGTAGAAAATAGCGTAGGTTCGAAATGGAAGAGATGGAAGATTATTTTGTCAGAAGATTCTTCTTTCATTGTACTAGCTCTTTCTTGGCCACAATTTCCTGAAATGTGACAGTTATGTTATGCAAGAAAACTCAGAGTTAACAATTGATTTTTTGGCCTTTTACGAACTTGTTTTTAATTTTATGACCCTATCTTTTTTTTCACACATGAGAGATTTACTTTTACACATGAGAGATCTTTCATTTAGAGATCTAAAAAAGACATTTTCTTAAATTTAACATTGTAAAAGGCCAAAAAGGCCTAAAACCTCGAACTAACAGTCTAACTACAGTAACTTATATTTTTGTGGTATAAATGAATGTCTCCCTAGGTTCAATTGCCACTATCTCACCTTTTTCTTCCCCCTCAGTGTAATAAAAGTTTATACTAGTAATTAAGAAGAAAGAAATAACAGCGCCCATATTAAGTATTTAGCCTGTATTTATCAAATTGACACATGCAAAGAAGCAAGATTATAAAGCACGTTTTATGAGAAGCTGGTAAAGTTATGTTCTTTCCATTTTAAATTGAGCAAAATCTCTATGTAGCTTAGCTGTCACAACTCACACTTTGGGGTTGTCTTTTTAAGCTTTCTATAAAGAAAATTAGAATCAGGACCCGATTCCCCTACCGAGTAATTCCAGTAAGTAACATCAATAGGTAAAATTATCACATAGACTGCAAAAGACCTATAATAAAAATAGCTTACAAAAACATTAATTCAAATGAGAATACTTGGGAGAGTTTATTTACAATGAATTTACTTTTAGTCATAACAAATTAGTAAAGTTTTGCATGCACATATTCCGCTAAATTTTATTCAAAAGCAAAACCAAAAATATTCCTCGAATCCTCTGCAAAACCCTCTAAACCCGCGTCTTATATACGCTTCGAATACCCTCTTCTTCTTCCATCATCGTACTCTCCGACCTCGTTGCAGAAGAAACCTTCATTTCTGGTCAATTTCAATGGCGCCCATTGACCCACATTCCTTCACCGATTCAGCACACCTACTCACTACCCATATCTCCCTCACTCTCTTCTTCGATTTCCCATCTTCCACCATTTCCTCTGCCACCCTTCTCTCCCTCCCCACCCCTTACATCGGACCCCTCACTCTCGACACTCGCTCTCTCTCTATCTCCTCTGTGCTTGACCCACTTTCCCTTTCCCCACTTCCTTTCTCCCTCTCTTCGCCAGACCCAATTCTTGGACAATCACTATCCGTTTCCCTTTCTAACCAAACCCAAATTTTGATTCTATCCAAAACCAGCCCTTCCAGTTCTGCCCTTCAGTGGCTTTCCCCTCCTCAGACATTCAACAAGACTCACCCTTTTGTGTACACTCAATGTCAGTCTATTCACGCCCGTTCGATTTTTCCTTGTCAAGACACACCCGCTGCGCGTGTCAAGTACGCTGCGAAGTTGAACATCCCCCGCCAGTTATCGGCTGTTATGGCTGCCAGGCACGTGGAGAGGCGGGACCCACTGCCCTCCGAGGCGCAAGGGGTCTGTGATGATTCAGTGTGGTGCGGGGATGATAGGGTGGTGGAGGAATTCGTGATGGAACAGCCTATTCCTCCCTATTTGTTTGCATTTGCTGTGGGAGAGTTGGGGTTCAGGGAGGTGGGACCCAGGACAAGGGTGTATGCTGAGGCTGTTAATGAGGTATTGGATGCTGCTGCTAAGGAGTTTGCTGGTACGGAAGAGATGATTCAAGTTGGGGAGAAGCTTTTTGGACCTTATGATTGGGAAAGGTTTGATCTTTTGGTGCTGCCTCCGAGTTTCCCTTATGGCGGAATGGAGAATCCGAGGATGGTTTTCTTGACGCCCACTGTGATTAAGGGGGACTCCAGTGGAGCGCAGGTGGTGGCTCATGAGCTTGCTCATAGCTGGACAGGGAACTTGATCACGAACAAGAACAACGATCACTTTTGGTTGAATGAGGTATTATAGCTTATTGAGTTAAATGCTTGAAAATCACATAAGGACTTAGCATCCTGTTGTGTTTATGTTCCATAATCTCATGATTTTATTGGCATTTATCGTGTATATTCTTCAGTTTCTTTTGTGTGATTTATTTATTTCTTGCGACGGTTCAGTAACTTAATGAACTTTCCTGGTTTGTACTTGATGCTTTGTATTGTCTGACATTTGTGTACAGAACTAAGATGGTTGCTTAGTTTATAGCAGGTTCTCTAGCTTATGATGTAATGTAAATTAGATGCTGAAATTGGACTTTGTGGATTTCATAGAGTTTGTTGAGAGAAATTATAATATTGAGTTTAAATTAGTGGAAGAGAAGTCCTTAAAGGATTAGATGATAGTTTGTGGGTACTACATTTGTTCTTTTAGTTCAACATTTTGGTCCAGGAATAATTGAGTCTAATGCGCAAAAAGATGACATATAGTGCATCGTTTTTTTGTTGATAAGTCAAGTACCATTTCATTGGTAAGTCACGAAGTAGTATAAATAATGTTTACATCATGCCAGAATGACACAACCACCTTCTCCTATCAAAATTCTTCCATTCAACTAGATGGTATGCCCTTTAACAAGTTGTATAATATCTTCAAGCCTCCCAAATATCCTTGGTCATATATCTGTGGGGTTATATAGAGGTGGTTCTGTTAGAGAGGATTGTTGATGCTCTGAAAGAGACTGAATCCAAGAGAGAAAGCACTTCTAGGCTCTAGCATTGTTGAACTTGAATTCAGGGAGAGGCAACAACAACAACCCAGTATAATCCCACTAGTGGGGTCTGGGGAGGGTAGTTTGTACACCTTACCCCCACCCTGCGGTAGAGAGGCTGTTTCCGATAGACCCTCGGCTCCCTCCCTCCAAGAACTCCCCACCTCTATGTTATATTCAAGAATACTGAAAGTTTAAAGGAACTTGAATTATTTAGAAAATCACTACACTGTAAAGGCTTAGAAGTTGAGGATAAAGAAAGTAAGTTTATAGGAGTCAGGACTTGTTATATACTTGAAACTGAGAGGATAAAATAAGTGTCATTCAAGAGGAGGTCATCAAGCAACTTAAATTTAGAGGAGAAATTAAATGAGAAAGAGACGTTGATTCCAGGTATTCGAGGAAGTGAGGTTTGAGCAAACAAAATTTGTGGCTGGGTAGAATGTTATTGAATGTGGCTATGCACAAAAAGAAATTTGTGGCTTACGGAGTTGGTTCAGAAGAGAAGCAGTTTTAGAGGCAGTTTAAGAATTGAGCTTATGAGCTCTATTTCGAAGTGGATATGTTGAAGCAACACGCGAATGAACTGAATCTAAGAAAAGAGATGTTGGATTCATTAGAGAATGAATTGATAGTGCAAAAGGAAGAACTTGATTCTGCTCGGTTTTTCTGAATAACGATCAAAAGAACTTCAATCAAGAGGTTGTGAGTTCGAGTCACCCCAAGAGCAAGGTGGTGAGTTCTTGGAGGGAGGGAGCCGAGAATCTATCGGAAACAACCTCTCTACCCTAGGGTAGGGGTAAGGTCTGCGTACAAACTACTCTCCCCAGACCCCACTAGTGGGATTATACTGGGTTGTTGTTGTTGTTGTTGTTATTGATCAAAAGAACTTCAATCCTATGCAAATGACAGTTGCATTTTGCGAAAAGGCTGACACTGACAGGAGCTTCCTGTAAGAAGATTGAGTTGAAAGAGAAAGGCTTACAGGCTTGTGCCATTATGACAAACCAGGCTGTAAAATCTACCATAGTCGCTTAGATGAATTTGGAAGGTGGAATCAAGATCAACGCAGCAATGAGGGCATCACGCCCAATGAAGAGGCCAATTGCCTTGGATGAACCAGCTATATTAGGCAATATATTATCATTTATATTAGTAAAAAATTTAGTAGTAGACGTTTACAACATCAGTCAATAATAGTATAAATAAGAGAGTTAAAGATATGAAATGGCATCAGAACTTTGTGAACATTTAACTAGAGTTGTGGCTCTATTTATTGATCGCAGCTCCATTTCTTGATTCCTGTCTCTCTAATAATAGAATTACCTTCTCTAAAAAAGTGTTAAAGTGTTTCACATTTGTGTAAGGAATGTGTTGTTGTCTCAGTAAATTGTTTTGGAAATCCTCACCTTTTGAGTTAGCTTTTCGGGGATGAGTTAAGCCCAACTGCCCAAGGTCTATTTTCTTAACTTGGTATCAAAGCTAGACCCATTTTATATTCTTGGTTTACCCAATGTTGGGCTCCCATGTTATATTGTCCTCGCTTTATGTGTCCAATCCTGGGCGTGTAAGGGGGTGTTAGAATCTCTCACATTGATATGGGTTGTCTGCTTATATAGTCTTTGACGATTCTCATTTCATGAGCTAGATTTTGTGGTTGAGTTAGGTCCAATATCGATTTTTTTTTACATGGTATCAGAGCTAGAACCATTCCTATTTTACCTATTGTTGGCAACAAAAGATGAGGCACGTCTTTCCCTGCCTTTTCCCAAGATAACACCAACTCAGAACCATAACATTCTTTGGATAATTGAGAAATCCCCTGTCAGTTATATGGTCCAACTCTAGTTGGAGCACAGGTTTGAAACTCGGGAGAGTATGGGGCTTCCCATCTACCCTCCTTTTGTTTAAATACCTGGCTTTAGTTTTCCGTGGGGTTTGAACTTGTGATGTGCGCCGGCCACACATCCCCCGTTATGCTTCTTTTATCATGAACCAAAGCACTAAAGCATTGGGGAATCTCATTCTTTGATTGTATGCCATCATCAAGATAGCTGGCAAACAATGCAACAAGTGAAAAATGTTGCTTTCTTCATTGCCATAAATTTCCATATAGCTTTCCTCTTCGGCTCTTCACCATGGAGCGGGCAGCTTTAATTAGACCTGACTGGAAGTTTGTTGAGAGTGAACCTTCTCAAGTCATGCTGTCTGCCTCACCAAACAGTGTATAGTCATATAGCTTTGCTAAGAGCGATTTCACCTCATTCAACTGTCAGTCCTGTAAAGATCTTCAAGAGGAAATGTCCAATGATGTCTGATTCCTGACCCTCCTTAGAATCTCAGCTTTATGCAAGCTGGTACTGCATCATGTAGCATGGTCTGTTATTTTACGGGTTTACCATTTGTTTTAAGATTGGA